CACCAGATTTTGCACTCTCAAGTTTTAGAAAATCAACCCCCTAGTGTCCCAATTAGAATATTTCTCCTTTAGGCCCCTTTCACAGGTGCGGACTGTTTGTCCGTTTTTCATCCATTCATTGACAGATGAAAAAGGGACATCAGTGCATCTCTATGGAAAAATGGATGATCATCCGTTTACATCCGCATCCATTAACATCTTTTTTTTTTTAACTGGATCAAAGCCCTGTTTTTTGTTCCATTAAAAAAACAGAACGGACGAAAAATGGATGTAAATGGACAAACAGTCTATTTTTGCATTGGTAGTGGATGTAAGAAACGTATGTAAAAACTGATGTATACTGATGTAAACTTCATCCGTTTTTTCTTTAAAAATATGTGACTGAACTGACAAAACGAACGGTCCACGTGTGTGAAAGGGGCCTTATTCGTTTTCTGGTGACAACGCAAAATATGGCTTCTCTGTAATAATGGTAAACAGGACAATCAAAGAGGGGAATCTTCCTAACAGGACAGAGAGGGGAATCTTCCTACCAGGACAAACAGAGAGGAGAATCTTCCTACCAGGACAAACAGAGAGGAGAATCTTCCTACCAGGACAAACAGAGAGGGGAATCTTCCTAACAGGACAGAGAGGGGAATCTTCCTACCAGGACAAACAGAGAGGAGAATCTTCCTACCAGGACAAACAGAGAGGGGAATCTTCCTACCAGGACAAACAGAGAGGGGAATCTTCCTACCAGGATAAACAGAGAGGGGAATCTTCCTACCAGGACAAACAGAGAGGAGAATCTTCCTACCAGGACAAACAGAGAGGAGAATCTTCCTACCAGGACAAACAGAGAGGAGAATCTTCCTACCAGGACAAACAGAGAGGAGAATCTTCCTACCAGGACAAACAGAGAGGAGAATCTTCCTACCAGGACAGAGAGGGGAATCTTCCTAACAGGACAGAGAGGAGAATCTTCCTACCAGGACAAACAGAGAGGAGAATCTTCCTACCAGGACAAACAGAGAGGAGAATCTTCCTACCAGGACAAACAGAGAGGAGAATCTTCCTACCAGGACAAACAGAGAGGGGAATCTTCCTACCAGGACAAACAGAGAGGGGAATCTTCCTACCAGGACAAACAGAGAGGGGAATCTTCCTACCAGGACAGAGAGGGGAATCTTCCTACCAGGACAAACAGAGAGGAGAATCTTCCTACCAGGACAAACAGAGAGGGGAATCTTCCTACCAGGACAAACAGAGAGGGGAATCTTCCTACCAGGACAAACAGAGAGGGGAATCTTCCTACCAGGACAAACAGAGAGGAGAATCTTCCTACCAGGACAAACAGAGAGGGGAATCTTCCTACCAGGACAAACAGAGAGGAGAATCTTCCTACCAGGACAAACAGAGAGGGGAATCTTCCTACCAGGACAAACAGAGAGGGGAATCTTCCTAACAGGACAAACAGAGAGGAGAATATTCCTACCAGAACAAACAGAGAGGGGAATCTTCCTAACAGGACAAACAGAGAGGAGAATATTCCTACCAGGACAAACAGAGAGGAGAATCTTCCTAACAGGACAAACAGAGAGGAGAATCTTCCTAACAGGACAAACAGAGAGGGGAATCTTCCTAACAGGACAAACAGAGAGGAGAATCTTCCTAACAGTGCTCTGATGATCAGTGTACATGTCCCCTCTGAGGAATGCCGATTACCAGCTCTCCTCTCCTCTGTCAGCGCAACTGCTCGTGAGGAGAGGAATGGCGATAACCGGCATTTCCCCATTTACATGCGATCAGCTGTGATTGCACACAGCTGATCACATGACCGAGCCAACATCTTCGGCTCTTTCCATTGATCGGTGATCCCGTGTCCAAGGGAAACAACACACCACTGATCGCCATGCTGTGTGCCCCCGGAGCCGCGCACGTGCGTTTACAAATGAAAATCCATTGAAAATAATGCCTCGGTTTACAAATTTTTTACAAAGTACGAAGTGTATGTTGGTGCCGATTTTTAAATGTAATTGCCGGCTTTTTTTTCTTTCTTCACTATAGCTCACAGAATTAGCTATCACTTTCCGCGGAGCTAAAAGATACATTGTTTCTTTTAAGAAACTAAAAGGAAACTTTGTTTCTCTTAACTTGGGGAAATAAACTAAAAGAAAAGAACTTTATTTTTTCTTTTAGTGGGGGGGGGGGGTGGTAGTGACGGCGAGCATCGTGATTGACGTTGAATCTACTGCGGGGGACATTGTTTTAGTTTTTTCTTTTATTAAAGGACTTGGCAAAGACAGTGTCCTGTCTATTTTGCACACTACACTTTTAGTTTTTTGGGAATGAGTAGGGGGTATAATGTACCCCATACTCATTCACAAAAAAATGGGGGAGAGGCCCGAGATCTGGGAGCCCCCTTGTTAAAGGGGGCTTCCAGATTTTGATAAGCTCCCTGCCCACAGACCCCCATAACCACCAGCCAGGGTTGTGGGGAAGAGGCCCTTGTCCTCATCAACACAAGGACAAGGTGCTTTGGCACCCCCCCCCCCCCACCTATGCTGAAGGCATGTGGCCTGGTATGGTTAAGGTCATTCAGCTGTCAGTGGGGAACCCCGCTGGCAGCTGAAACAATAACACATGGTTGTTGCTACTAAAATACCACATGACTTGATAAAATTACTCATGCAGGATTTTAGTAGAGTTTACTTTTTTTCTGATCTGATCTCCAGAATGGGTGAATTGGTTTTCAATGTATTCCTATGGGAAATGGCGTTTCGGTTTACGAATTTTTCTCTATATGAAAAGTCCTGCAGAATGAATTAAATTTGTAAACCGAGGTATTAACACACACACACACACACACACACACACACACACACACACACACACACACACACTTTATAAAAGTCAGTGAAACTCCTGGGATATTGATCTGGTCAGTTAAGTAGCAGAGGGAGTTATTAATCAGTTTCAGCTGCTTTGGTGTTAATGAAATTAACAACAGGTGCACTAGATGGGCAACAATGAGATGACCCCCAAAACAGGAACGGTTTTACAGGAGGATGCCACGGACATTTTTTCCCTACTCATCTTTTCTGATGGTTTTTCACTAGTTTTACATTTGGTTAGGGTCAGTGTCACCACTGGTAGCATGAGGCCACACCTGGACCCTACAGGGGTTGCACAGGCAGTCCAACTCCTCCAGGATGGCACATCAATACGTGCCATTGCCAGGTCTCAAGAGCATGGAGGAGATTCCAGGAGAATCAGCAGGAGTGGTATCTGCTCCTTTGTGCAAGGAGGAACAGGATGAGCACTGCCAGAGCCCTACAAAATGACCTCCAGCAGGCCACTGGTGTGAATGTCTCTGACCAAACAATCAGAAACAGACTTCATGAGGGTGACCTAAGGACCCAACGTCCTCTAGTGGGCCCTGTGCTCACTGCCTGGCACCATAGAGCTCAATTGGCATTTGCCATTGAACACCAGAATTGGCAGGTCCACCACTGGCGCCCTGTGCTTTTCACAGATGAGAGCAGGTTCACCCTGAGCACATGTGACGGACATGAAAGGGTCTGGAGAAGCCGTGGAGAACGTTCCAACATTGTCAGGCATACATACAAGCACATGGAGGCCATACAGAATATTGAGGACCATTCTGAGTTGCTGCAATGAAATCTCAGCAAAATGGACTAGACTGCTGCATCATTTTTTCCCTTTGATTTTCAGGGTGTCTTTGCATTCAGTCCTCTGTAGGCTGATAACTTTCATTTCCAACAAACGATGGGGCATCCTTACATCCCTAACACATTACCCCGTCCATATCAGTATAGAGATCCCGCAGGAGATTGTTCCCCATTGAGATCTGATGTGTTTTCAGAGCGTTCCTTTCCTATTATTTGAGAAGTGTATATATTAATATTAGGGATGCACAGAGAACTTTATCAGTGAGTTCCGATACTTTCCGTCAAGAACTCGCCGATCTTGAGTACCGATACTTTGCGGTGCAATTAGCGACCTCCATGCGGCGTGTGACCTCCATGCGGCGTGTGACCTCCATGCGGCATGGACAGTCCACTATGGAAAGCATGGCCCTCCACACAGGGTGTGGCCTGAGCTCTCCTCCTAGGAATCAGATCTTCATAATGAGGGAGCAGCATGACACATCACATGGGACAGAGGAAAGGAGTTGTCACCCCCCCCCCAGAGGAGGAGTGTTGCTGAGCACAGGACAGACATGACAGGTAGCAGAGGTGAGGAGGAGGACATTAGGAGCATGATGGATAGGAGGGATGGAGATGACAGACATAATAGGTGTGAGAAGTGAAAATGAGAAGGATGGAGATAACGAATGAAGAGGATAGGACAGATATCAGAGGTGAATGTAAGAAGAGGAGGATATGACAATTCTAAGGAGTAAGGGTGCAGAGAGGATGGAGATGACAGATATAAGCAGTGAAGAAGACAGATCTCACAAGTGACAAAAGGATGGAAACCACAAATGTACGCAGTGAAGAGGAGGATGAAGATGACACCAATAACAATGAGGATGGAGTTGACATATCAGGAATTAAGATGAGGATAAAAAAATTACAAATATAGGCAGTGAAGGAGTCACATAGCAGCAAAATGGATGAGGATGGAGACGGCAGATATTGGTGAAGATGATGACAGAGATGACAATTCTCAGTGAAGCTGAGGATGGAGATGACAGACATGAGTGAAGGTGAGGATGGAGATGACAGCTCTTGGTGCAGACGAGGATGGCGATGACAGATCTCCGTGAAGATGACACATTAGTCAGGGTGATGAGGATGGAGATAACACATTAGTCAGGGTGAGAATGTATACCTGATGGAGATGACACATTAGTCAGGGTGAGGATGGAGATGACAGGCGATCTGTGAGATGAAGTTAGAGGTGGTGTTGCTCCTAGGCACACAGCGCCCCCCTCAGTCAGTGGCCGAGTTCGGTAATCACACCCCGCGCCCGGAGCCCTCTCCTCCCCTTACCTGAGCTCCGCCGGCTCCTCCCATCTCCCCGCCTCCCGGCCAGCTTCTTCCATTCTCCGGAGGATAATAGCCGGCTCCCCAGCCCGCCGGCGCCTCTTCCTGCCTCTGGCGGCCCAGCACCTCCCCTCCCGGGTAATATCCGCCGCCATCCCCGGCTCTGTGCGTGGCAGACATGGAACTAACTGGAGACACACAGCCGCGCAAACACACTCCTACTGCGCAGCTGCGGAGCCCTCCACGGCAACCGGGTGCCAGCCAATCACAGGGCCCGAGCTGCTAAAACAGCTAATGGGACATGAGCGCGTGAATATGACCACGCCCACTAGAGGTTTGTACAACCAATGAGAAGTGAGGAGAATTAGCTGTCATTTTTCCGAAGTTCCCACCCTCATTTGTCCTTATAATGATCCCGTCCAATCATGAGTAAAACTTTCCCGTCGCGTCACCATTCCTTTTCTCCAATGGTCGTAAACCACGGTTCGCGCATGCCTGCTTATCATCTTTAGCACTTGGCCAGCCCCACATCTCTCCTTAGCCAATCAAGACGCATAAACGCACTGGAACCGCCCACTTCAAAAGTCACTAACCAACAACCAAGTTACTCTGGGGTGTTCCGTCCAATCGGTGTGATACTTGGTCTTGGCCGCTCCCCCACGGCTGCGTGAGGTCCCTCCTTCTTATCCCACGCCTCTAAAAGACTGCCGTGCCGCCGGAAGTGGCATGTGAAGGATGGTGGCACTTCCGGTTGCCGGTGTTGCGCGGCGTCCCGTATGAAGAGGAGCCCCGTTCGGGGGGGCGGGAGGCAGAATGAATTATATGCCGGGGACAGCCAGCCTCATAGAGGACATAGACAGTCAGTATACCCCACCCCCCCATATTATGTGTCTGTGTTAGGGTATGGCTCGCAGGGACTGCTGGGACTTGTAGTTCTCAGGTGATATGTCTGTGAAGACCTCCACAACCCCTCCCTTTGGTGTGTCTAGACAAACACTTCTCTAAGCTGTCATGGGGAAACTTCCCTCCACTTCCTGTCCTAAATGTACAACAGGAAGTGGGAGCCAATCTCCACTGGGGGGAGGGGCGCCTCTCTGAGACTGTTGTCAGGGGAACAGATGTCCTCAGGGGGCTGACTCCCCTCCCTTGGTGTCATGGTGACATTTTGGAATTTCTATTGCACGGCAGCTTTGGCCAGAGCTGATTTCTGCACATTTCAGTTGATGTAGGTCTGAAAGGAGATCCTTGTACCCCCCCCCCCCCCCCCATTATATATCCCCTGGTGGTGTGTTCTACACATTTCAGATACTCGCCCACCCAGCGGATCCAGTTTTCTCCCCCTGAGATCCTCATGTCTTCTGCCACCACCTGCTCTCACTCCGCCATGTTTATGTTATCAGGAGGCCTGCTGGATTTGGCTGGCATACCTCCCGATGATCAGGTGCTAGGCACACCCCCTCCCCTCCTCCTATGTGATTGAAGGGCTATGCCTCCTGAGATATATGATGTGTATGTCCCAGGGGGTGGAGCAAGGATAACTATTGGGAGGTGTTTTTTTGCATTGTGGTCAATGGGAAGCAGTGTGTGAACCAGGGGCGGACTGACCATTTGGAAACTTGGGCAGTGCCCGAGGGCCCGGAGTCAGTAGGGGGCCCATGAGATGCCCTTGGTACCTTTTTCATAGGTTTTTTTGAGTTTGGGCAAGGACACAGGTGCCCCATGATCCCCTATTGCCTGGGGGCCCCATGAGTTGTCAGTCCGCCCCTGGTGTGAACCCAGGCGCCAGGATGTAATTTCTAGTTTCCACGGCGACCTGACGCTTTGTCGAGCCCTGCGTTATCGCATGCACATTCAAACTTTTCTAAGTACGTATGACCAGCATTAGTCTGTTTGACCTTCACCTGCTATGGTGCTGCACATGTGATCAGTTATGACACCAGCCATTTGATGGTTTGACAGTTTGGTTGAGAGTGCAAGTGACAGTTACATTCCCAGCATGCCAGGAATGTAACTGTATTTTTGAATCCGGTAAATCAATGGGTGTAGTTCTCGTTTAAAGTGGAACTTAACCCATTGGTTTAACGGTTTAAAAAATGGTTACATTCCTGGCATGCTGGGAATGTAACTGTCACTTGTGCTCTCAACCAAACTGTCAAACCATCAAATGGGTGGTGTCATAACTGATCACATGTGCAGCACCATGACAGTTGCAGAGCAAACGGAGGCTGAGATGGCAGCTTCCTTGGCTGAAAGGAATAGGAGGGTTTAGTTCTGCTTTTTACTGTGTGTGTGTGTGTGTAATAAATATATATATATATAAAAATTTGTCACCAAAAGTCCCTATTGTAATAAAATTTACTCTTGGGACAGGTAATGTCCGCAAACACAATGGAATACCCCTTTTTTGTTTTTTTCCTGAAATATAAAAGAGAATGCATCAAGTAAATTGATACCAAACTTGTCAAAGATTTAAAAATGTGCCTGCCTGTGAATTGGGGAGAGACTGTTCTAGAAGTGACCTTTTAAAAGCCTTATCAGTTTTAAGTTAGAGGATAAGTTCACCTTTTGGACAAAATAATAAATGCGTTTTTTTTTTTTTGCAGGTAAAAAAAATGTGCATTTATTATTTTTGTCCAAATGAGCTTGCAGACCTATCAGAATATCTGCCGGAAGTACGGCCAAGCAGATATACTGACAGGGAGCTTCAATGAACTACCAGGGGTCAGCTAAAAATGGGTCACAGGAGTGCAGAACAAACTGCATTCCTGTGATCCACAGAAGTACAGTCAAAAGAGCTTTGGCTGTGCTCTGACTTATTCAGCTGTCAGCAGAGTTCCCATGCTGACAGCTGAAATGTAGACCTGTCCCACTGTCAAAAAGTAAAAAAACCCAGCCTGCCAATGTTTATCAACATTGCTCAGCAGATAAGAAGAAACATTGTTTCATTTTGGATCTTTGTTTATTCACCTACAGATCAAAGGGATGAACTTCATCTGCAGATGAAGGCAGTTAAAAGTGATCTGTCATTTAAAATAAAAAAATAAAACATTTTTGTTTAACCCTTAATGTACACAAATTTTCCCTTTTTTTTTTTTTTTCTACTTTATAAACTAATAATATTTAAAACTTTTTCTGGTGCTTTGTTCGTTAATAATTTATAGCTTTAACCACTTGCCTACCAGACACTTTTACCCCCTTTGTGCTCAGGCTCATTTTCAGCTTTCATTTCTGTCGCACTTTGAATGACAATTGTGCGGTCACGCAACACTGTACCCAAACTAAAATTTTTATCTTTTTTTTTTTTTTTTTTTTTTTCTTGAGACAAATAGCTTTCTTTTGGCAGTATTTAATCACCACTGGGGGTTTTATTTTTTTCTAAACAAACAAAAGACCAAACATTTTAAAAGTTTTTCTTAGTTTGTGTTACAAAGTTTTGTAAATAAGTGATTTTTCTCCTTCACTGATGTGCGCTGATGAGGCTGCACTAACAGGTGGCACTGAAAGCCAGCACTGATGGGCACTATTGGCCACACTGATCATCAGTGCCCTGATAAACCGTGTAGATGTCCCCCTGAGAAATGCCCCTTACCCACTCTCCTCACGCACTGTCAGTGTGAGGAGAGGACTGCCGATAACTGACATTTCCTATTTACACTGAGATCAGCTCTGATTGGATACAGCTGGTCACATGGTAAAAGGCGGCTCTGATTAGTGCTTTATTTGGACACATGATCAGCTGTGTCCGAAGGACTCGGCAATCACAGATCACGCATGTGCTTGCCCCAGGGGGCGTGATTCTGGGAGGACGTCCATGGACGCCCTCCCAGAAATAGCCGATCGCTTCGTTGCTGTCTTTTTGGCTATAGCGCAGTCGGGAACTGGTTAATATTTATTTACACGTTTCACATTTTAAAAAAGGTCAAAATTGAAGAAAAAAAATATTTCATTTGCAAATAACTTTTCAATGCTTTGTACCAGAATCATTTTAGTATCATTTTAAACCGGACAAATTACAAAATAAATTGCGGATCTTTTTATGTGCAATAACACGATTTATTTTTAAATTAACACTGCTCAAAAAAAGAGTGCTTTTTATTAGTTTTGTTACATTTTAAATGTCTAATAATTGTGGAAAAAAAAATATCACGCAAAACACTATTGATGAAGAGAGCCTTGTTTGTCCTTAAACAATATATGTATTACGTTGTTCTCTTAAATAAAGTAATCGCCAAATAAACCATCCATAGCAGAAATGTAAAAATTGCTCTGGTCCATAAGGGGTGAACAGGTGAGAGCCGAAGTGGTTAAGGCTCAGAGCAACTGTATTCTTAACAACCGATCACTCATTTAGCTGTTTACGGGGTTCCTGTAAAACCATTGCTGGCAGGTATCGGTAATTAGTATTGGCGAGTACAAAAAAAAAAAAAAAAGCGTACCCTCCTTAATAAAAAATGATCTGTGCATCCCTGGTGCCTAGTAACAGTTGTAGAGTGTAGCCAAATGTGCGTTATGCTTCAGTTCACATTGAATCCAACTTTGAAATCGTGAGATTTCAAGTGAAGTCGAACGATTTAAAAGGCACAGGTCAGTGCAATTTCAGGTGCGACTTGCCTGACATATGTGCAACTTCATGTACAGATGTCTATGCAAGTCGCGCCTGAAATCCCAAAAAATAGTGTAGTAACCTTTTTCAAATCGGTGTGGAACTGCAAATTCAGAGTTGCACCATAGTTACATAGTTGGTCTGGCTGAAAATAGACAAAGTCCATCCAGTTCAACCATATGAAAGATTTGAACAGTTCCATTGCCGACAATAGGGTACGAGTTGTCATGCGATTTGAAATTGACAAGTTGCGATTTGAGAGCTTCATAGAACCTTTCATAAAGCATATTTCACTCTTCTCGGCACAAACTGTTCTATCTGCAAAGTATAAACTTTTTTCCACAAACAGTTACTTTGATACTATAGTATCATATAAAACCACAATAGAAGTTGTTCTGTATTAAACAGTATCTACCAACCGGAAGAAGCCAAAAATAGTCTGTAGCAATGTCGATTTTACTCAGACCATGGTCAGCAGATAATCCTCTTTATGCAGGCAATGATGATGTCTTGCAAGCTGGCGCTACATGGTTCATTATTATTTTTTTTTTTTTCTTTAGCTGGTAGGCTAAAAAAAAAATGGGAGTTTCCTTCATCCACACAAATGAAATGGTTCAGACTAAAGGTTATAGAAACTAAAAGTTTTGGTTGAAAGCATCCCACCTATATCCTGACCCAAGTTTCACCAGAAAAGACTTCTTCAGGGCATCATACCCCAAATTAGCAAGTTGACTGGGTCTCTCTTAAAGTGATGCTAAACGCACATTGTTTAATTTACATTATCCCTTTTTCTGTAGGTGGATGCTAGCGTTGTAATTATTTCACTAAAAAAAAAAAAAAAATCAAAGTAACTTTTTTTTTTTTTCTACATCAATGTTGACTTTTTATGGGGCCCCATGTGCATTTAGCTTTTTTTTTTTTTTTTTTTTTCCTCTGCTGTCAGTGGGAATCCCCACTGACAGCAGAGATGAGTCACTGGTTGTTAGGATGCCGACTCCTAACAACCAATGCAAGAAAAAAATATATATATCCTCCTGGGACTTTGTATGGCAAAAAAAAACGAGCATCCGAAAATATAAACCATTACTGTTTATTACAAAATAGATTTTGATTAAAACGAATCAACAGATTCAATAGAGATGAACTGCTGTACAATAATTCATAATTCACATTCAACAGAAAATACAATGTGCATGGGACCTGACAGTCTGTGTTACATCAACTGACAAGAGGGCTAGCAACCCACAAAAAAAAAACAATTCCATCATCCAGACAAAACCAACGCGTTTTGGGAACTCATGTTTCCTTCTTCAGAGAAATAATGTCAGGTCAAGAACATGGCAAAATATCAAATAAGTGCATAGAACACAGTATCATCTAAAAAGCGCGTGTGGGGAGGCTGGTTACTCATACACTTACAGATTGTAGTACATCGAACATTATTTTATTTATTTCAGGTACTTGTATAGCACTGTCCATTTACGCAGCGCATATATATATATATATATATATATATATATATATATATATAATATTTCACATCAGTCCCTAACCCTCAAGGGGCGTACAATCTAAGGTTCCTAACTCACATTCATACATACACATACTAGGGACAATTTAGACAGGATCCAATTAACCTACCAGCATGTCTTTGGCGTGTGGGAGGAAACCGGAATACCCAGAGGAAACCCACGCAGGCACAGGGAGGACATGCAAACTCCAGGCAGGTGGTGCTATGATTGGGAATCGAACCTACGACCCTAGTACTGCCAGGCGGAAGTGCTAACCATATAGCCACTGTGCTGCCCACATTAGTTAGCAAATGTTCGTACAAAATTGGAGGAGGATGCTTTTCGAGTTACACATTTGGGAGAGGGCAGACAGGGACACCCCAGTGAACCATCCATTAGCAAGGGCCACACTAAATGCAGCCAATGGGGGGGGGGGGGGGGGGGGGTCTATAGAGTATGAGGACCAAAGAACTGCTATTTGTTATTTATCACATGAAAATAATCTAGTAATTCTTGTAAACAACACAGGTCTCTCTCCTGTCAGCATGGACATGCTGCGTTCTCTTTCTACACAGGAGAGAGAGAGAAAGCCGCATGTCTCCCTAGTAAAAGTGCACACAGTGCAAGCACACAATACAGCACACAGTTAACCCTTTGATTGCCCCAGATGTTAACCCCTTCCTGCCCAGTGTCATTAGTACAGTGTCAGTGCTTTTTATTAGCGCTGATCACTGTATTGGTGTCGCTGGGGATGTCAGTGTTACCTGTGTGCAAAAACTGGGATATTAACAGGTGTAATACATATAGAACTCTGGTAGTGTGAGCCGAACATAAACATGACAATTGTGTGACATTTTAAGTGGATCTAAACCAAGAAATAAAAAAATTTCAGTTTTATAAGCCCTTAGATTTGGTGGCTACATATTAGGTGTGTGTGTGCTTCTCCAGGCTTATTAATATTCAGGAGATAGTCTTGCCAATAACACGCTTTCTATCCCTTCTTGTCTACACTAATTTCTCCTTTGTATCCATAGAGGAAGCCATGGTTGTCAAACATGGCTACTCTTGTAATCTTCATTACATGGGGGGGGGGGGTCCTGCCAACAATGGGTACCCCATAGTAAGCCTTTGGGGTGATGTCTCCACATAGGCATTGCAGCAGTTGTCACTGATCTCTCGTCTTCACTGCAGCCACCCGCTGTGGAGATCATGGTATTGGTACTTTCAGTATAGGTAAGTATACAGTATAAGTACAGTCAGTATACGTCTTGTCTTTACATACAGGGTAGTGTGAATAGGGCTTGGAATGGGGGTGGGAGCAGGCTTATGATTACATAGTATTTGACTGAACTTCTGCTTTAAAATCTAAAGTTTGATTTCTTTGTTACAGAAAAACATCTGGTCCTTCTTCGAGATGGAAGAACTCTCATTGGATACTTGAGGAGCATCGACCAATTTGGTGAGAACTCTTCATGAATGTTGAGTGTGTGTGTTTTTGCTATTTTGGAATGGGCATCTATAACAAGGTTCTTGTGAGAATGTTAGGAAAAAATGACAGGGTCCCCATGTACTTTGCTCTATTTTCAGCAACATGAGGTTGCCCATTTAAATGCTAACTCCACTTTCGGGAAGGGGGGTGGTGAGTATAGTGTATACAGCTGCAACACAAGCTGTACTGTAATTGAATGTTAATTAACTTTACTCCAAAGACGTGCTGGTAGGTTAATTGGATCCTGTCTAAATCAGCCCTAGTATGTATAAATGTGAGTTAGGCTGGCCATACACTATCCAATTTTCTGCCCAATTTTCTTTAGATTTACCTTCAACTATGTAGTGCAAGGGCCTGCCTAATTGGATACAGCTGAAAGTGTTGTTTAGCTTGGACCTCATATTATATGTTTGTTTTTTTTTTTTTGGTAAATCTAAAGCAAAATTCTCAAGAAAATTGTATAAGATATGGCCACCCTTAGGGACCTTAGATTGTACACCCCTTGAGGGTTAGGGACTGATTTGAATGTAATATATATATGTGCTGCTGCGTAAATTGACAGTGCTATATAAGTACCTGAAATAAATAAATTGCCTTTCTTTTTTAGTTGCATCCACTGTAAATTTTCTGCAAAATGCAATGCAGTATGGCAGCCTGGAGGCGTTCTGTACACACGGTGTACAGAGCACCCTCCTGAAATGTCATTTCCTGCTTGTGTGATTGGTTCACTGCATTTCCTAGAAGTGTGCACTAAGGTGTGTCCAGATTTTTGACATCCTGTGCAACAAAAATATCATTTTTTCGGTGAAATACTCCAAAAGTGGATTCGCATCTAAAGGGATGCTCACCACTTTCCTCACTAGAGCCCTGCAGGTGCAGCAGCAGATCGATCATTTTAAAATCACTCCCATACAGATTCACTTTGCACATGGACAAAGACAAGCAAACAGCTATTTCTTCAGAATAACAAAAGGCAAGAATCTGCAACAAAGTTTGTTAACCCCCCCCCCCCCCCCCCCCCGGTATTCCTGAGTGTCGCTCGGGGTTAACTTTCAGTACCGGAACTGATGACCCCGAGCTCCACTCGGGATTTCCCTGCAGCGTTGCTCAGGGATTCCCTCCAGCACTTACCTTGTCCTGCTCTCCCGCGATGTCCCCCCTGCAGTGTCCCCAGGCATGTCCTCCGGCCGATGCCAGCATCAGTCTTCCGGGTTCTGTTCCCTGCAAGCGTTGGGACGTACGGGGGACGGAACCGGCGGGAAATTCAAAAATGTGACATTCACTCAATACACTAAAATCACATAGTAAAACATTCCTGTATCAAACCATTTCACATACATTTTGTCCCGAGTGCTTTGTCCTGTGCCCTGCTGCATTTTTACTGTTCTTTCTGCCTGGAAACTGAGAAACGTCCATGGCATCCAAAAAGCGTCCCTTTAGGTAAAAATCGGTTTTAGACCAGCTAGAGAAACAGCGATAGTAAATCAGAACCACTTGCAGAATTGTGTGATAATGATTCGTGGGGGAAATTCGTCATCAGACACTGAAAACGATTCTGCGACTTTGCTCAGCGATGTGCGAACTTGGTGCTATATTTCAAATTTCAGTGTTTTTGGTTTGATTACATTATTGAATTATTATTATATTTTTTGATTATTATATTGTAATTTTATGATTTTGTGTTTGAAATTTTATCATGTTTACTAGACTCTTGTTCGGACAGATTTCAGTGAGCTATTCCTAAAAATTACAGGCCTACAATAAAAAACGACATATTTCCATGCAAAAAAAGTACCGCTTTGAGCACAGAAATACTGACATAATCAGACCACTAGGGAAGTTAAAGGTTAAGTTCACCTTTTGACAAAAATTAATAAATGCACATTTTTTTTTTTAATTTTTCTTGCCGGTAACAAAAAAAAAAAGTGTTTATTATTTTTTGTTGCAGGAGCTGTTGTTATGCAGGCCTCCTGCAGACCTGCCAGTATATCAGCTTGCCTGTACATCCCATACAGGCTTGCAAATAACACTGACCGAATCAATTAACTACCACAACGCTCCACAGGACCGGGTAGTTCATTCGTTTACAGAGCTGTGAGAATGATGTGGCTGTGTGGGGGGGGCCCCGCATGGCTGCTGTGTTTTTTAAAAATAACAGCTGGTATGCGGAACTTCTCCCCATACTGCTGTCACAGGGAGGGAGGGATTGGACAGTGGCTGCAGCATTAGGAACATGTTCCACCCTAATTCCTAAAGGTGACCTTTTATCCTTTAAAATTCTTGCAATGTACATAGATCACCCAGAGAGGAATTTTTTTTTGTTGTTGTGGGTTGTTTGTGTTTTTTTTTTTTTTTTTTTTTGTCGACAAAAGTGGAGTTACTCTTTAACCTCTTTCCTGCTACCCTATAGCAGAGATAATGCTACAGGGCAGCAGGGGTGCGCAAAATCACATGTATATCTACGTGATTTCGCACTTTCGGGTAAGGGGCGCGCGGGAGCTCCCTGGTGATTCCCCGCCGGCACCTGGTGATCGAGTATCGCGGATAGGGGAGAGACCTGTATGTAAACAATACAGATCTCTCCCCTGTCAGCTCCTGCATGCTATTTTGTATGGCTCTGCATAGCAGAGCCATACAAAGCATTGTGCTTAGTTTGATCATCCCCAAATGTTAACCCCTTCCTGCCCATTGTCATTAGGTGGGTGTGTGTTATGTAGCAGAATACATTTTGGCCTAAATGGCATTTCCCATCTTTTTGCTCTGTTGCATAGTGGTGTGTATTGTTTTTGTGCTGCCCTAGGCAAGACTAAAATCGGGCACCCCCCCATCTAAATTCATCCCACCTATTCATCTGTAAATTCCAACCTTCATCTTTAGGCTCCACCTCTTTTTATTCCATTTTCGGTGTCAGTGGGAGGAATAGTGCCCCTTTATTGGTGTCAGTGGGAGGAATAGTGCCCCTTTATTGGTGTCAGTGGGAGGAATAGTGCCCCTTTATTGGTGTCAGTGGGAGGAATAGTGCCCCTTTATTGGTGTCAGTGGGAGGAATAGTGCCCCTTTATTGGTGTCAGTGGGAGGAATAGTGCCCCTTTATTGGTGTCAGTGGGAGGAATAGTGCCCCTTTATTGGTGTCAGTGGGAGGAATAGTGCCCCTTTATTGGTGTCAGTGGGAGGAATAGTGCCCCTTTATTGGTGTCAGTGGGAGGAATAGTGCCCCTTTATTGGTGTCAGTGGGAGGAATAGTGCCCCTTTATTGGTGTCAGTGGGAGGAATAGTGCCCCTTTATTGGAGTCAGTGGGAGGAATAGTGCCCCTTTATTGGTGTCAGTGGGAGGAATAGTGCCCCTTTATTGGTGTCAGTGGGAGGAATAGTGCCCCTTTATTGGTGTCAGTGGGAGGAATAGTGCCCCTTTATTGGTGTCAGTGGGAGGAATAGTGCCCCTTTATTGGTGTCAGTGGGAGGAATAGTGCCCCTTTATTGGTGTCAGTGGGAGGAATAGTGCCCCTTTATTGGTGTCAGTGGGAGGAATAGTGCCCCTTTATTGGTGTCAGTGGGAGGAATAGTGCCCCTTTATTGGTGTCAGTGGGAGGAATAGTGCCCCTTTATTGGTGTCAGTGGGAGGAATAGTGCCCCTTTATTGGTGTCAGTGGGAGGAATAGTGCCCCTTTATTGGTGTCAGTGGGAGGAATAGTGCCCCTTTATTGGTGTCAGTGGGAGGAATAGTGCCCCTTCATTGGTGTCAATGACACCAATGATGGGGCACTATTCCTCCCACTGACACAATGTTTACATTGCTGACCCCTGCTCCAGCCCAGGCTCCCTCCCTCTCCCATCCACAGCCAGCATACCTGCTTTGCTCAGATCCTGGTTGCAAGGGCCCGACAGACACTTGCCTTACCAATCAGCTGTCTTCCTTCTCTGGCCACTCTCCTCCGGCTTCGGCCAGTCTCTCACTCCAATCGGCTCCTTCGATCTTTGCACTGCCGCTCGGCTCCTCCTCTGCCTGTGTGCTTTCTCTGAGCTACAGATCCGGTGGCCAATCACCAGTGAGGAGGCAGAGATTGGAGAGGGAGGGACAGGCTGCCCAGTGATCCTGGGAGTGTGGCCAGTTGAGAGGAGAGGCATGTCATCCTGATCCAAGATCCAGGGGATGAAGACCCCGGACCGGACAACCTCTCTATTCCTTCTCCAGCAGTGCCTCTGGTTGCATCCACTGCCAAATACCGTGTCAACTGGTGTTGGAACTTAGAGGAAGCAGTAATGCCCTATTCCCCACAATTATGTAACCATTCTTGGGCATAGCATGTGACTGCTAGATCTAAGAAATGTGCATCAGGGAAGGTAGTCCCCATACTTGAAAGCCTTTAGGTATTTTACAGAGCCAATCTGGGAAGGAGTGGTGGGGGAGGGCTGTGAAAAGTATAAACTTTGTTTAATAAGGATATAATATTCATGTGCTGCCACAAATAAACGATAAGCTGCTGCAAGCATCGAATGTGTTCCCACATCAATAAAACTCCCCAAGAATAGTGCTGCCCTGCCCCCTAGCGACTCAAGAAAATACTCTAATAATAAATTCCCTCCTGAGTATCAAACCCAATGCGTAATAGAATAAATTTGTGAAACAAGGTCAATAGTAAATTAAAAAAAAAAAAAACTGGCTTAGCCACTAAATCCAAATGTGACACATATATGAAAAATCAAGTAGCAATATACACCTGGCCAGCCTATAATAAACACCTGGCTGAGCGGAAGAATAAAGTGTAATAAACAACAAAAACGGTGAAATATGTGAAACGTATATCAGAAATAAAACACGATCACAATGGCAGTAAACACCCGGCTGACCTAAAGCGTTAAGTGTGAAAATCAACAAAAACAGTATAAAATGTTGTAAAACAAATGCCTGACTGAGCAATCGGCCCCCCCAGTGGAATAAATATGTGATGAATCAAGTAAATGTTCAACTA